GGTTAGTGGAATGCCAACGTTTGGTATTCCTGTTCAAGATGGTGGCATTGGTTTTGACTATCGCCTACATATGGCCATAGAAGATAAATGGTTAATTTTGACCATAAAATCAATTGGATAGATTTTGACCATAAATGGTTGATTTTGACCATAAAATCAATTGGATAGATTTTGACCATAAATTTATAATTTTATTTTAATTTGATCCAATTAATTATAATTTTTAATTTGTGTTGATAGAAAATGAATACATCTGTCATGTTTTTATAATAAAAATATAAATTTATTCAACTTAGGTGGGAGAGGGTTGTTTGCGTGGGTGAATAAAGTTGGACATTGCACCAAAACACTGTCCAAGCCTCCGCCACCACCCCACTGAGAAAAACTCCAAGGCATCATGTGATGGCATTGGTCACAATCTTGGCCTAAAAAAGGGCTTCTGTCTGCCCATCCAAAGCACAAAAAAAGAAGATGAAAGAAATAAAGAAAAGAAAGAGGGCCTGCCACCTTTCTCTATCCTTTTCATTGCTGTAAAATAAGGCCACTTTCTAAACATTTAGTAATTCTTGACTTCACTTTACATATCATCAATGTAGGATAAAAGGCAAAAATTATTCAGTAGCCACTTTGTGGCATTACCATAATGGTTGCGGTGGCTAAAATGACAGTTTGGCCATTTTGAAGAGAATATTTTATGGGAAAAAACGATCGAATAATGGCATTCAATTTTCTATATGCACTTGCTGTAGCGCATTTGCTTCGAAAATGAGCCAAAACACTAAACAAAATGGCTTCATAGCCTTTGCTAGTGCAACTGTGGTCTAAAATTTATATTAAAACCTCACACATATATACATCTTGAAGAATTGATCCATCAACGATATTAAAACCACACACATATATACATCTTGAAATGTCTTTTGATGAACCTGGACGGAAGATCAACAATATTGAAAAGCGAGTTACTACTGCAAGGTAGTGTATGAATTCTTACAACCTCGTTTGGTGAATGATAATTCCTTACAAAATCAGTCATGCATTATTTTCCATCTCTTCCCGTAACAAAATTCTTTCTTCAAGAAAAAAAAGAAGTGTGCATACAAAATATAAACTTCCATACAGCAAAACAAATATCCATCAACCATCATTTAAGAGTATTTATACAAAATACTAACAGATTTAAGTCCTCAAAATTTTATTTTCGTTTTAAAAATATTAGTTTAGCTCCCAATATCACCCGCTCGATAATATCAACTATTACCCACAGCAACACCTGCAAAAACAAATTATATTGTCGTTAAGGTTTGTTCACTTCAAATCTATGATTCAAATCATAACAAATTGAATTTTGATATATTGGTCATTACACACTCTTTTGTCATTTTTTGTTCGTAAATTATTTATTTTCATAATCAAGTTGTAAACATCATAATTACTTATGACATATCAATGTTCTAGCTAAAATCTATCTGGGCATATCAAGAAATTAGAATTAAGCAGCCACACATAAAATTTGCAAAGCTTTACTGTTCTGTTGTATTCCGGACTCGGTTCCGTGAAGTTGGTAGTTGTATCTATCTTGTTGTCGTCCTTTAATTCCACTTGATTGAGTTTCAGGATGTTTTGGGCAGGGCTGTTACAGGTTGGCTAGGCCTTGGTTTCAATTCCTTGTTGCCCAGTTTTTAGGCGGTCCGCTCGAGCGGGTCTTCTTGTGCTCGAGTTGGGATTGCACACTCCCAATTTTTCGTGTCCCTGCAAAACTTCTACAGGTGTGATTTCTATGCTTGAGCGGGTTTCTTTACGCTCGAGCAGTAGCGCTTGAGCGGGTTTGTTGACGCTCGAGCGGGTAGTGCCTTTTTGGTGTAAGTTCTGGGAGGGGGAAATCTACGCTCGAGCGGACTGGTTTTCGCGCTCGAGCGGATGTGCTTTATTCTTGTGTCTTGGCACTCGAGCGGGTCCTTTTGCACTCGAGCGGACCTAGCTTTTGTTCTTGACACTCAAGCTTTGTGTTTTCCGCTCGAGCGGGAATGTCGTATATCAGTTGGCTGTGAGGCAGTTTTAAATCACTTTTTCTCATCCTTTCTCTCTCTTACTTTTCTGAAAAAGCCATTTGAGAGCCTCTCTCTCTAAAACCTTGCCTTCTCTCTAGATTTTGATCTAGCTAGGGTGTTTTCCTCACCTTTGGTCTTTACAAAAAGGTTGTTGATCGTCGAAGGCTATCTTTTGATCCGAGGAACTTGTGGTTTGAAGCAACTTCGTTTTCACCATCTTCTTCTTTGGGTCTCATCTTTTGAGGTAGGGATCCCTACTCACTCTTATGGGTTTTAACCTAGATTTTGAGCTTATCGTTTAAATGGTTGATTTTGGGACTTAGGGTTTCAAAATGTGTTAAAGAGGGTTTTGTGATTTTGGGCTCATAATATGTGCTTTGGGTTTCAAAATGATGTTATTGTTGTTGGTCGTTGAAATATAGACCATCGGGTCAATATTGGGAAATGGGGTAGAAAACCCTAATTGGTTGTATAAATTAATTGGTATGATTAATTTGAGAAAATGGTGGTTATATGGAATTGAGTTGGAAATAATGAAATTGACTCATTATATGGTTGAATAGTGTAGTTAGATTTATTAATTGCTCACTTTTGAAAACATTGATATTTTATCTGTTGGGGCTTTTATTATCTGTTTAGAAATAATTGCTTGGGCTACCGGTGGAGGGTAGTTTTAATTGTTGTAGACAACTGCATGATGATTACGCAAACTAAAACTAATCAATGGATATGTCATAGAAGTAGTGACGTTTGATAGAATAAACATTCAATTATGTATGATTGATTCACACACTTTGTGTATATATGTTGTGTGTGTGGGAGGAGATAGGGGATGTACTCCACGGTTTAGGGGAAGATAGGGGATGGACCTCTAAACCGGATGTTGTTTGGGAGGAGATAGGGGATGGACTCCACTGATACAGCTCATATACTTGTCAGATAATGTGTTGATACAGCTCGTATGCTTATCTTTGGAAGTGTTGATACAACTCATACGCTTGTCATTGGAAGTGTTGATATAGCTAATATGCATATCTGTTGAAATGTGGATACAGCTTGTATGCTTATCTGTTGAGATGTTGATATAACTAATGTGTTTATCTATTGTAAAATGGGAAGTGCTTAATATGAGCCATCGTCTCATATAAGTGGTTGGCCAGGTCCTGAGCCATCGATGTAAATTGTGAAATTGATAAGAGATGGAAACTGAAATGAAACATGAACATATGGTCATGAAATGGAAATGGATTATGAATTGGTTTATGGAAATTAAACATTTATCAATTGCTAATGTCTTAGTTATTGCTCATACTGTGTTTAGCATATCTCTACTAGGCGTTGGCTCACCCTTTATGGGACATTATTTTCAGGTACAGGTAGTATGCCACCTCCAAGGACATAGCTTGGATGATGATGAGAGTTGAAGACTCTTTTGTTTATTTTGATGTATTACTTGTAAATTCAAGCCAAGGGCTTAATATGTATTGAGTTAGCACTCTTTTTTTGTAACCAAGTGTTAACTTGGAAAGCTGTAAGCCCATAGGGCATTTGCTTTTGTTGTTAACATGTAAGACAGTTGTAAGAATTACTCTGATGGATAGAAATGATTGGTTTCTTTTATATCAATGCATGTTTAAAGTAATGGGTTTTATGTATATTTTTGAGGGCATTACAATTTGAACTAAAAGATGCCATAAAAGTAATCACCTACAGACGTATCCACATCAGTGAACACTGAATTTTGGACGACTTGTGCATCGCAACTACACAAGTCATTAACATCCTTGCTCAACTGCACTGGAGACGTATCCACTTTAGTGACAAAAAGTCGTCTCTTCACAAGGTGGGTCTTACATGGTCTCATATTATTCCTGGGACGCTTCGGTGTAAAAGGGGTGGGCGTACCAATTGGATCATAATCATCGTATCCCTCAAACAAATTGCTACCCACTTGTCCCGTTTTATGATCGTTTTGGGGGCAAGTTCTCCTTGTGTGGCTGACGACCCTCCATTGTCAAGTAAATCACCAATCATTAAAGAGAACAAAAATGCCAATACTACCTCACAATAACAAAATTAAGACACAAAGCACAATATAATGTATACCTGCAACATTGGCATCGCCTTGGCTTTCGAGGTTTAGCCATGTAGGATCTCCTCGTATTCCCCTTCGTGTTCACTAGTTTCGGATCCCCAACCCCAAATGGTGGCAATGAACTTTTTCCTTCATTAACATTAGTTCCCTTGGCCATGCAAAGCTGCTTCATCCGACATGTCATAGTGAAAAATACATTCCTAGCCTCTTCAAATCCTTCAGATGTTTGTGAGGCATAGTAACACATTTCAGTAAAAGAAGAGCAAAGAACCCCAAAACGTGTCTCCTGTGTGAGAGTGCTAGAGAATTGGGCTTGGCAATATTGTTCACCAACCTTTCTTGCTTGCTTTGTCCAATGATGCATCACACAACTTGGGGGAATTTCAGTCATGTGTTCACATTTCATCATAGAAATCATGTGGCTGCAAGGAAGTCCAAAGAACTCAAACTTTTTGCAACTACATTTCATTATGCTAGTTGCGGGATGGTATGACACTTCCCATGTGGAACCAAATTCAGTGTACTTTGAAAATTTGTATATGCGATGATTGAACTCCTCTTTCCTTCCATCAAAAATCAACAATGCTTCGTTAATTATTTCATTACGGAACATTGAGAACAAACATCTGGTAAAGATGGTTGCTGCATGTTTCTCTAGAGGTAGAAGTGCTGTGGTAAGACAAGGGTTTTTGCCTCGGCATCCGCTTCTTTGTTCCGTAATCGATAAAGGGCCATGTCAAAACATCTAACAATTCGAATAGTTTCAATTTTCGCTTGAGGCGCTCATTGAAAAAAACATGAATACCCTCACAACGCTGACTGCTCTTCATTCCAGCAAAAAAATGACCACGCAACTATGACTGAGCCCACATGCCTTTGTTGTTGTAGGTGTCTGATACCCACTTGTTATTTTGAAGGCCATATTTTCTTACTATCTTACTCCAAGCTTCCTCAAATACAACCTCATTCGCATCAAGATCCATGAGATGCTTGAAATGTCCCTCGAATCCATCGACTCGAACATTTCGCATGGCATTTCTGTGCATATGCCAATTACATAGACAATGCTTGGCACTCGGGAAGACTTTTTGTATTGCCTCACGCATGGCCATATCCCCATCTGTCAACACTGACACCGGTCTTTTGTTATCCATGGCCTCTAACAACTTTTGCAAAACCCATGTGTATGTTGCAATTGTCTCATCAACAAGCAAGCTGCATACAAATATGGTGGTTTCAAAATGGTTATTGACCCCGGCGAAAATAACAAAAGGTTTGTTATATGCATTCATTCTATAAGTTGTATCGAAGACCAACACGTCACCAAATGCAGCATAGTCTAGGCGAGACCTTGAATTTGCCCAAAACAATTTTTCAAGTCGATTCTCTTGATCCTTGTCATACTTGTAAAAGAAGTAAGGATCAGCATCAGCTTTTGCACGTAAGTAAGCCAAAGCACACTCCGCATCACCATCCTTCATTTCTACTTTGCGCTCGGCTTGAATATAATTGTGCAAATCCTTGTGAATAAAGCCCACATTCGCGAAAGACCCGGATTGTTGCACCAACAAATCCATTATCTGGCTTGTCTTGACACCAACATCGTGCAAAGTCTTTACTTGAGCTTTGTCGGGGATCTTTACAAACCTATGTGACTGAAGAAATGGCACACATGGTGATGTTGCCAATGGATGGTTATGTTCCATTTTAAAGTGAGTGACAATGTATTTGCCTACATCCAGATTGTACCTTATGCGGAAATGAGCATCACAACCAACTCTAGTCAATGCCCTGGCAGCTCTTTTTCGATCAATATGGGCCAAGTGTTGCTCTGCTCTTTGGCCTTGCCTTGAGCATACCCATTTTCTACTAAGAACCTTTGTTGCCTGCATTGTTCGCGTGTCTTTCCTAATGCTAAATCCCACAACTTTAGCATATTGATTATAGAAATCATTGGCATCCTCTTCTGAATTGAATTGCAATTCAAGAACATCATTCTTGGTTAAACTTTGAATAGGGTCATTTGCATGGGAACCTAATTCTTCTTTATTCCCACAAACTTCGTCATCTTCAAGCTTACGCTCAAATTTAGTACATCCAAAAGGATCCATGATAACTACATCAAAAACAATATGAAAAGAATAACATTATCTTATAAAATGAATGAAAATTCCTAAAATCACATAAGAGAATTTTTTAAAAGAGCAAATAACAGACAAAAATAATAATAGAATAATGTACATAGATTTAATGACATAGTTATTGAAAACATTCAATAACTTGCCATTAATGACATAGTTATTGAAAATCAAAATAAATAGAGAATGATTCTGTAATCAACAATCAAAATATTGGTTGATCAATAGAAACACAATAAAATAGGAACAAAGAAAAGGAAAAAGCAAATAAATAAAAATATATGGAAACTCATTAAGGCAATTCATTTGGGTTCTTTGGTATTTTTCTTAATTGACTTGGGTTATTTTTAGGTATTTGGATTGCTCTAAAACACATCCGCAAGTATAACTTTATACACTGTCCAACTTATAGCAAATAATTAATCAAACTTATAACTTTATAGCAAAGAATTAATAAAACAAATAAAAATAAAATGAATTTTATTACGACTATATATAATATTAGTAATTAGAATTCACAGAATTTTTTTGACTTATCCTCCTTGTATAAGTTAAGATCTATTCTTCAATATCACGGAACGTCTTTTTTTCTTAAGACTTCAATAAAAGATTATTTTGGAAAACAAGGAATAATTCATTATGAATTAAGACCTAAGAAACTTCAGAATTCTGGACTAAATCAATGGAAAAACTGGTTAAAAGGTCATTATCAATACCATTTATCTCAGATTAGATGGTCTAGATTAATAGCAGCAAAATGGAAAAATAGAATCAATCAATGTCGTACAATTCAAAATCAATATTTAAACAAAGAGAATTCATATGAAAAAGACCTATTAATTCATTACAAAAAACAAAACGATTACGAAGTTTATTCATTACCAAATCAAAATGAGAATTTTCAAAAATACTATAGATATAATCTTTCATCTTATAGATCTATTAACTATGAAAATAAGAGGGACCCATATATTTATGGATCACCATTCCAAGTAAATAAGAATCGAGAGAGTTCTTATAATTACAACACACATAAACATAGGGGCAAATTTTTTGATATACTAGGGGATATCCCTATCAAAAATTATTCAGGAAAAAAGTGATATTATATATATGGAAAAAAATCCGGATCAAAAATATTTTGATTGGAAAATTCTCCATTTTTGTCTTAAAAAGAAAATCGATATTGAGGCCTGGATCAAGATCGATACCAACAATAATAAAAATACTAAAACCGGGACTAATAATTATCAAATAATTGATAAAATTGATAAAAAAATATCTTTTTTATCTTACAATTCCTCAAGATCAAGAAATCAATTCACCCAATAAAATAAAACCTTGGTTTATACCAAGCAAATTACTTTTTTTTAATATAAATGAAAATGGTAGTGAAAATAAAAACATCAATAGAAAGCAAAAGGAGGTTATACCCTCGAATGAAAAAAAAATTTATACACGTGTTCAAATGAAAAGGAGGTTATCTGTCAAAAAATTTATCTATATGTTCAAATGTTATTTATCTGTACACGTACTTTTCTAATTATTTGTCAAAATATCACCTAATTATACACGTGTCACCTATTTGTCCCACCTTACCGCTACCAACCATTGTTGCCAGCTACCGCCATCCGCCAACCATTGGCAACTTTTTCAACAACTTTAGGAGTGATAAACGAACCAAACAACTTGAGCTCGACTTATGTTCAGCTCATTAAAAACTCGTTCGAGCTCAGTTCATTAAGTAAATAAGCCAAACTTGAATAGTCAATTGCTTGCTCGGCTCTGTTTGATGAATCTAGAACTACCAAACTACTTCAGGTCGGCTTGAGAAAAACTCATTTGATATCGACTCGAAAATTTAACGAAGCAAAGTTGAACAAATTTTAAAATTCACTAAAGTTATCAAAGCAAGTTATAACAATCAACTGTTCAGCTCGTTTATTATCCCTAAAGAGGGTTTAAATAGGACTACAACTATTTGTCTTTCTCATTTTACATCCCCTCCATACCTTATTACATCCCCTCCATACCTTATTCTCTCTACTACTTACAACACAATTTTGGAAGCAATTATTATACATGTAGAATCGCTTGAAAATAAAATAAAATAAACACTCTAGAGGATTCATGCTTCGTCTATGATGGGTGGCTGAAGGCAAAAATCTCAGTATAGAATTTTCAAATGTCTATCAAAATTAATGAATTTACTTGAACCAGACTCTCTTGTGATGTATTTGCCCTAGAGTTCTTTCTTTTCAAACATGTACATTTCTCTACTCCCTCAAAATTATGTTTATTTTTGTCGTGGATGGGAAGCAAAAGTATCAGTTCAGAATTTCTAGACATTTACATGTCATTCAACAAATTTGAGTTCAACCAAAAATGAATTCAATCTTTCTCTTGTGACATCATCTCCCTCTAAAAAAAAAGACAGTACACCCGCAAGTATCCTACTATCAATTAAAATAAACAAACAAAATAAAAGCACACCTGCCAGTGCCTTGCTATCAATTCAAAGCAAATAAATTCAAAAAAAAGAAGCAATTAGCCTACTATCAATTAACATGAAACAAATAACTATCAATTAAAATAAACAAATAAATAAAAAAAGACAGCACAAATAAATAACGTAGCACACCCGCCAGTGCCCTGCTATCAATTAAAATAAACAAATAAATAAAAAAAGACAGCACAAATAAATAAAATAGCACACCGCCAGTGCTCTGCTATCAATTAAAATAAACAAATAAATAAAAAACGACAGCACAAATAAATAAAATAGTACACCCGCTAGTGCCCTGCTATCAATTAAAATAAACAAATAAATAAAAAAAGACAGCACAAATAAATAAAATAGCACACCTACCAGTGCCCTGCTATTAATTAAAAGCAAATAAATTAAAAAACACACATGCTAATGCAACCGTTACAGAGGAAGAGATGGAGGAGGTATAGCTTTACTTCTACGTTAAGATGGAGAAATTGAGGGCCTATAACAAACAAAAACAAAACATTGAAATAGAGTTAGTAAAGAAGAAAATACGTAAGGAAATTAATGATAGTGGGGAGAAAAGAAAGAATCTATGTACGAAAAATATTATTTTGCACACCTTTTGACATTAACAAACTGCATAAACAATAACAGAGATGAAAGTCTACTACCTTTGTTCAAAGTCTCAATAACCATTACATAAATAAACACTTAAACAAATGTACCACAACCAACCGTTTGACGACTTCAACAATTAAATAAAAATATATACAAAAAAAAAATTAAATAAACAAATGTTCTTATAATCACATTCAACACACCTTTTCCCTTTCCCTTTCCCTTTCCATTTCCAAATCCCTAGCTAAATCCATGATCCAAACATAACATTAAGGAAATATGATGGTTTCAACGTTATAGAAAGCAAAGCACATTCACATAATTTTTTTCTTCTTTTGTGCTAGCTTATTATTTTCCAAAAAAATTCAAAATATAATAAAAATGTGGGAGTGGATTTTGTAACGCCCTCAGAATAATAACATTAAACCAGCCATGAACAATGACTAAAAGATTAGCAGTTGATAGATGGTCAACATAGATACATCTACATATATCACATTTCGATTTCATGACATTAAGTCCATGTTACATTTCATTTCCCTTATCTTTTCCAACTTTGAGTTTGAAAACAAGGCTCAACATATAGCCAAATAATTTAATGAGATTTAGACTCATCTTTAAAACACTTTCAAAACTTCTGAGGGATACACGTTTTAATGCTGTATCAGTAACACATAAACCATTCCCACACTTTTCGAAAGATACACATTTTAGTGCTGTATCAACATAACATAGAATCACTTCTATACTTTACAATTGATGACGATATACATTTTAGTGCTATATCAAATCAATTTAAACACTTCCATAATCAACATTTGCTACACATTGTAGTGCTGTATCAATGTCACACAAAATCCGGTTTAGAGGTCCATCCCCTATCTTCCCCTAAACCGTGGAGTACATCCCCTATCTCATTCCACACAACACATGTATATAAACATAGATCACATACAATCAATCAATACATAGAATTAATGTATTATTCCAGTTGCTATATTCAATAGCATACTCAATCGATTAGTTTTTGTTTGCCCAATCATCATTCAGTGTCTACAACAATCAAGACTATCCTCCACCGATAGTGTCATGACCCCAAACCGCCCCTAGTAGTTTGGTGCTGTGACGGCCAGTAATCCGAGATTACCGAAGGCCAGCTTGCAAAATTCACACACACATTCAGAGTATAAACATATGGGGCTCACAAGTGCGGAAGCAAAATTTAAAATACAAGTGGTCCATAAGAGCTGTGCTTAAGTCAAATGAGGTAGCAACCGTTTACATATGGGTTATAACTTAATTACAAACAAAGCAGAATGCAGGTTACATTTTTTGTATTAGCAAAGGCTCCTCAAGCCGACATAAACAAATTGTACGAATTACAGGTATAAGAATACAGTCTGCCAGGTTGCCGACATCTTCTTTGCCGACATAACAATCTTACAAAAACATATATCTTGATCAAAAGGCTTCTCAGCCGACGTGTTCGAAGTACAAACATTATAAGTCGAGAAGCATGATTTTCAAGACTACCGACATAATATGCAGGTTAAGCCGACATAAACAAAACCCCAAAACAAGCTCCAGAAATCACACCTAGGCGTCACCGCCTTCTTGTTCATCACTATAGCGATCCCGGTATTCCCTGTTGTTGTATAACTGTAATCTGGACTCAGTTCCGTAGATTCGTTGTTGTCTTATCCTCATTTCTATCCCTTTCTCTTTGTTTTAGAGTTTTGGGTTGTGTTGGGCAAGTTGGGAATTAGTTGGTTGTGTTTTAAAGCTTTGAAATTTTGCCCAGGTTTTGGTCTCTCCGCTCGAGCGGCGGTTTTACGCTCGAGCGAGCTTTTGTTGCTGCATT